TTTAGTTCATGCACTGCACATGCGATTCTTGAGGTTACTGGAAACCAAAAGTTGCGGGAAACTTGCTTGCCTTTCTAAATCGACAATCAAATTGGAGCTGCGAAAATTGGCTCTATGCCAGCTGCCCGAATGACACTCACGCGATACACAATTCGCCAAAAAAGTGATCTCTTCCGACGTCGGCGCAAAACTCGCCTTTTTTGGCGGGATCGTTTGTATGAAATTCCCTGACTTTTCCAGATTTTGACTAAAACACTTAAATTCCCTGATTTTTCCCTGAATTTTTTGGTCAATTTCCGAATTCCCTGACTTTTTCCGGTTTTCCAGGTAGCGTGGCAATCCTGTTACAAGTAAAAATAATTTCAAAATTACTCAAATCCTGTTTAATTTTTACCTCATGGGTTCATGTTATGTCTTTCTCTAAAATATATTAACAATTTCTCATTTACTAAGGAGTGGAGAAGATGCTAAGAGCTGCATGTCATTTGTAACATACGTTAATGGTTTATCAATGATCTTGGCACTTTTTAAATAATGAGGGTATCAGAGATTGCCTTTCAGCTTTTATTTAGCGTAGATTAGACCTGAACTCAAGAAGTCGCACACATTAGTTCGTTACAAGTAAAAATAATTTAAAAATTACTCAAGTTCAATTCAATTTTTATCTGATGAGCTGTTAAAAAATGAAAGGTTTTTCCTTCCAAAGTTTTTTTATTTTGTTAGGAGAACTTAACTTTCTTTGGTTATTTTGTTACTGAATCAGTGTATTGCACTTTTATAGCTGAGAACTGGGAACTAAACATTATTCAAGACATATTCTTGACTGTAGTGTGTTAACAGGGCAGTGTGTCTATCACTGTTACTGTGAAGCCAATGACCTTAAAATTTGTGAAACAATGTGAAGGCAGTGCCCTTAAATTAGTATATCAACTTTTAATTTAGAATATTAAATACCTAACAAACTATGGATATCTTGTGTGATGTGTTTTCTCTATATCATATTTGTGGTCTGGTAGAGTTGGAGATAATAAACTAGACGAGTAGAGATTATCGACAATGCCATTCCTTTCTGCTAGAGCTATTATGCGGTTAGCTATTGATAAGGAAAAGCATTTTAAAAGAGTTTCAAAAATCATACAAACATTACGTTGACTACCTTTTAACTGATGCAGAAACAACAGATAAAGCCACAAGAGTGACAGAGGAGCTGAAAAATTATTGAACAGAGGATTTGTGCTAAGAAAGTTACTTTCAAATATTTTGGAAGTGGTTGCACTTATTTGAATGAAATGAACAATGTTGAACATCCACTAGTCATAAAGAATGATGAAATGATAAACGCCCTAAGGATCTAATGACCCAAACAGTGATAGTTTTCAGTTCACAATTTCTAACAGAAATAATGAGGTAGTTACAAAAAGAACTATTCTTCCTGAAATGGCATGGATTTATGATACTTTAGGTTGGCTTGCATCTTGTGTGATTTTTATCAAAATATTTTTTCAAAAACAAGGGTGAGAAACATTCTCGGAATGATCAACTTCACAGAAGCTTAAACACTGAATGAGATGTATTCTATCAAGAATTTTATGTTTTGTCAATGATGAAAAAATCTCTACAATTAGTCATAGAACCTGTTAAATGTACAACAGCATCAGGTATTCTGTACATACTGAAGTGTCATTTGTATCCGATCAGTACTCCAAATTATAGTGAAACTTTTAACTTCAAGATTTTTAGTGGCACCAAGACATTTTCCCAGTAAAGGTGCAATCTTTATTCAGATTGGAATTATGTACAGCATTTCTTTTTCCCAACCTATTTTGAAGACTCTGTGACAGCATCTTCAGTAGATATTTATCTTGGACAAGAGAGACATGAATAATTTCTGGATGCTTGAGATTTAGAAAAAAAAAAAAAAAAAAAATTATTCTGCAAATCCTGCAAATAGAAATGAGGGTTTCTTGTCTATAAAAGAGCTGCATGACACTGAAAGGGTAATAGTGAAATAACTCCAGAAGTCACAGTTTTCCAATAAATTAAATTGCCAAAGATTAGAGAAGCAGCAGAATTCTCTGCTTGTCACCATTCATTTACGAATGTGGAATTCTGAAAGTAGGTAGCCGTCACAAGAATACACTGATTCCAGAGGAGCAGGAACATTTCATTTTACTTCCTAAAAAATTATCATGTCATTGAAAAGCAATAAAGCAATATCATTTGACACATCTGCATGCTAATCTAATGCTTCTATAAGCTGCATTATGAGAGAAGTTTCAGATTACTTCCTCAAGAGGTATAATTAAATTAGGAAGATTTTATGAAAATGTACTGTATGCTGCAACCATCTGTAAAGTGTGCAACAAGTTAAAGCTGACCTTTATAATTCCAGAGTTCAGCCTATTGTGTTCCCATGTGTAGGCGTTGATTTCTCTGGACCCTTTACAGCTAAATATTTTAAGAGAACAGAAAGACATAATAGGGATATGTTATATTTGTGTCTTCTTATGCTTCACAATTAAGGTAGTTCATCTGGAATTTATGAATGATACTTTATCAAAGGCTTCTAAACATCCTAAAGAGATTCATTTCTCATCGAAGAAAATCTTCAGAAATCTACAGTGATTATGGTACAAACTTCATGCTGCAAGTAAGGAGCATGCTACAGAAATTACCATACTTCAGAAGAATAAGGCAATCTTAAATTTCCCAGCTTCTGAAAACATAAAATGGATGTTCAACCCTTCTTCAGACTCCCATTTTAGTGGTCTTGGCCAAGGTGAGATCTTTGAAATTTTTTCTAAAATGAATATTAGGCAATCAAAATCAAAGCCTTACATGTGAAGAATTTGCAACAATAATAATGAAGGTCAAGGCCTGCATAAATTTCAGACCGCTTTGTCATTTGTCAAATGATCCTAATGATTGTTCTGTTTTTATTCCTGCACACTTTATTATACGAGGGCCATCCAGGAAGTAGATTACGTTTCCGTCTGTGTCCGCTAGGGGCGGGGCTAGCGCGGCCATCTTGGGGTCAGAGCGTTGCGCAGCTCAGTCTGCATCTAGCCGTGCTAGTGAGAGGTTCGTGCTGTGCTCCGTTCAGATACTGTGACGGTTTGAATGTCTGCGTTAATTGAAAATCCCCCCCCGCGAGCTGCGAGGTGCGCTCAGTAATAAGGTTTCTGACTGCAAAAAACTGTAAACCGATAGAATCTATCGGCAACTTCGTGAAGTGTATGGGGACAATATTATCACTGAAGGTGGAGTGCGTCAGTGGGTCATAAGATTTCAAAATGGCCGAACCAATGTTCACGACGAAGATCGAAGTGGGAGACCCAGCATAGTGTGACCGCCGAACTTCTCGAAAAAGTCGATGCTAAAGTCCGTGAAAATCGAAATTTCACAATAACGGAACTTTCTTTGAGTTTTTTCCACAAATTTCGCGAAGTTTGTTGCACGAAATCATCAGCGAAAAGCTTGGTTACCACAAGTTTTGTGCAAGATGGAAGGCAAGAAGAGGTAACGAAGTGGTTGAAGGCGCAGGCGGCCGAATTTTTCGACGAAGGAATTTCCAAGCTCGTACATCGCTACGATAAATGCCTTAATTTGTATGGTGACTATGTAGAAAAGTAGTATTTGAGTGTGGCTTTCATCTGTATATAATAAAATTTGTTTCCTATACTTTGTTTATTTTTTTACTCCAAAACGTAATCTACTTTCTGGATAGCCCTCGTACAAAAGGCATTGACTTCAGTGCCTGAAAAACCCCTTGGTGGTAACATCAATAAACCAGACAAATGGAGAATTGTACAATGAATGTTGCAACAACTTTGGAAGAGAGTGTCTTCTGAATATCTGTTGACACTGTAACCCAAGCCTAACTGGCACAAGGCTCCAAAAAAAACCTAGAAGCAGGAGATGCTGTCCTGATTAAGTATACAAATTTATCTCCAAGCAGTGAAGCTAGTGTTGGATTATAAAGATGTACAATAAAGTGAAAAGTGTAAAGACAATAAAGTGCATACAAACAGAAAATGGAATACTGAAACACAAAATAGCAAAGGACAGTTAAAAATTCTGAAACAGGCATTTTTTAGCTTAAAAAACTTTTGGACTTCTTATTTTTTGTTTTGGAACTTATTATTAAGTGAAAAACTTTTGTTTTAGTGTTATATGTTTTGTTTTAGTTCTTATTTTTCATGTTAATTTCTTATACTTGCTGACGGTTGTACTTAAACTATCTTTAGGTGTTTCCATGGTGGTAATGTGTTAGATGGCTTTCCAATATTTATTTAGCATGGATTAAACGTGATGTCGAGAAGTCACACACATTAGTTCACGAAAAGTAAAAGAAATTTCAAATTAATAGAATTAAGTTCAGTATTTAAGATGAAAGATTTTTTTCCAAAGTTTTTCTGTTCCCCTAAGAGGCAAACTTTTTTTTTTTTTTTTTTTTTTCTTTTTCGTTTTTAAATTTTGTTACTGAATCAGCATACCATTATGCCCTTACATCCATGAATTAAACATTATTTGAGACACTCTGAAGTCCTTGGCTGTAGAGTGTAGTTGGACAGTGTGTTCATTGCTTTTTACTGTGAAGGCAATGGCATTAAAAACTGTGAAATAAAATGGAGCCTGTGGCCTTACATTAGTGTAACAACGTTTAATTTAGGATGTTAAGAAACCAGCGATGTATGGATACCTTGCAAGATATGTTTTTTCCTTATCAGGGGTCAATAATAATAATATTTTCTTTTCTTTTGTTTAACGTCGTAGCATTTATATCACAATTTCACACTAACTTTAAAAAAAAATTTCATATACCCTCTTTTGTTACACATTGTATTATCCCCAAATTGTGCTAAATATTGTGTTAGAAGAAACACAGATGAAATGTTAAAAAATATTTAAAATAAAAGTATATTGAATACACAGAAAATGCTCTAACATTAAAACATACAATGGTCACACATAAATAAACTAAAGCATTAGATTACTACCTTTAATTTAATCTCTTTGGGTGTAGCACGCTCAATATGCTGATTAACATCCATTCCTGGTTTCAAATGTAACATATATTCACATTCTGGTTGCAGCCCTCGAATGCGAAATGCACCTCCTTGTTCACTAATGGCCTCTTCTTGGTACTGACCACATGTACTGCCAGCTACACCAAGGGCCTCAACGGCTATTCCAACTTCTGCCTCTCCAGTTAAAGAGGTTACAGTACCATACAGACTATAAGCTACACGCTTACCTCTGGGGGGGAAAAAAAAAAAAAAAATGCAAAAGTATTTACTATCTAGAAACAATTTTAAATATAGTGATGAGAAAAGACATACAAGAAGAATTAAATGGACGTAAATTAAGAACAAGTTTATGGACAACATTGCACCGCACTTTGATTGACTTAAATTTAGCAGTTCAAAAGATAGCATTAATTACTCCTATTTTATTGCTACATATGTAAACAACAGAGACAATTGTAAACAGATTGTTGTATGAATCAGATGTAAAAGAGATAATATCTTAAAGACAAATAGATTTTCAGACACAGTGAATGAATAAACAGTTCGACTACATTGGTGATCAAGAAGAGCTTTTCTGAAAAAGAATTCCATCTGTACTTGTTTATTTCAAAAGTGCTTTTGACAGGATATGGAGAGCTGAACTGCTCAATAAACTGATTTCTACTGCTACCTCAAGAAGTCTTTGCATATTATTTTTTCTTCTCCAAAAATCTATAAGAATTACATTTCAATATGCTCTGTGTTCTAAAAAAGGATGGACAGTCCTGCTGCAAATGTGGGAACAACCACAGGAGCAAGTTTTGCACTTTAAAACCCGAGGAAAAACTGACATGCCTATTTTGCTCGCAACAACACGTCAGTTCGTACCATGGGTACCCTGCAATTAGGAAGAGACTTGAAAAATAAAAAGAAAAATCAACCAAAAGCAGTTACTCCCATCCCTACAGCAGTAGACTTTCTCAAACTGATTGAAACCGAGACGAAATCATCAAACAATCCACCGAAGCCATACAGAGAAAAAGCGAAGAAAACTCTACAACCCCCACCAGGGTTGCCACTCAAACAGGAGAATGAAATTCCCTGACTTTTTCAGGTTTTCCAGGTGCGTTTCAAGAAAATTCCAGTCTATCCGCGTAATGTACGTTGGCTACGCTAAGAGGTAAATTATGGTATTACTTGTATTGTGTAGCAAATTCACTTTATTCTTATTATTCAATAAATCCCAGAGGACATTTATTCTTAATTATTCTTGGTATACTTTGTTTGATAATTTTGTTTACTTTTCCACTTAAGAAACTTAATAAAATTTAAGATATATACATTGGATAACAAATGTATGTTTTATTTAATTATTAGTCATGATCATCACCAGTTCAACACGAGGCTAATCCGGTCCTTATAAATCACAACGCAATGCTAAATAGTTAGGTTAGATTTTAGGTAAATTTAATTTGTGTGAGGTATGTTCTTAAAAAGCACCTTAACACTTGAAAACATAAATATAATTATAATAGTTGTTGTTTTCTCCATTGAAGATTGAGATTAGAATCTTCCCAATCTGGAATAAAATAAGGCTTTTTTTTTTGCAGACATTCTGCAGCTAAACGAAACAAAGAAATCTATTTTAATAAATTGAGGTATTTTATATTTAGTTCGCAGCATACATAAGAAAAAAATATGTGCATTAAATTTCGTGATGGTATGTCATCATACTGCTAGAATTAATTTCAAGATTATGCCAGAGAAAATTTCCTGAAATTTAGAAATATTATTTACTAATAATTAATAAATTTAGAGGGAAGAAGCATCATTAAATTATACGAATAACATAAAAATAAAGATAATTACTGAAAAATTGAATTAGAATAATCAACGATATTTTAGCGAATATAGTTATATTACATGGTTAACCTAGATGACAGATTACTATTTTTTATTTTACTGCAAAATGGCAAGGTATTTATTAAAAAGAAAAGTTTAAAAAGATTTTGCGGTAAAATTCTAGTATACGGTAAGGCTTTGGCACTACTAAAAATACTAGGCTTTGGATTTTGAAAATTGTCGCCAAGACCAAAATGACCCGTTTACTGCGCATCATCATGTCGCCAAATCCATACACGGAAATTATTTTAACCAAAAAACGTCTATGCAAAGAATCTCTAATTCTTTGGTCTATGTAAAGAAGAAAATTTTCCATACAAGTAAAATGCTATTACGCCGCTAGAATGCGGAGGGAAAATTTGCCAAGGGATTTGGCGACGGAAACCTGGCGGCCAGAATTTCCCTCTCCGCGATGTGTACCTGAAATTGAGAAACGTGTTAAGAAGAAAACGTTCTTTGACAAAAGAAAGCTACGAAAATCCGTTTTTAAATTATTGCGAAAAATCCAAGAAGAAACGTTTTATCAAAGGACGTTTCTTCTTGGATTTTTCGCAATAATTTTAAAAACAGATTTTCGTAGTTTTCCCCCCCTGAAAATTACTAACCTAGGAATTAATTTACTTGCGCCAAAAAATATTTTCTTTTAATTTAGAGTTTAACTACTTGCGCTAAGACTAAACTTCACGTTTGCGGTGCCGTGCGCTACAATATAGCAAGTGGTAAAGTGTCTCATTTACGCCGCTCCGCATCTGCGAGTGCAATCCAGAGCTGTAACTCGAGAAATAAACAATCTCGTTGTTAGGCGACGTGTGCACCATGTTATTTTCATTTTTGCGATAAATGCTTATCGCTCGCAGTTTGAGACAAAAAATCTCGACGTGCGTGGCACGTCTTTTTAGCGCAACTGGTTAAAGAAATTTTAAAGGATATTCATTTAATGAACTCTTGACAACGTACCTTCGAACTTCGACACCGGTTTCCAGCTTTGGCGGCAGATATATCACGCATGCACAGCTGTTTCCCTCTATGATGGAACGGTGCCATGTCTGTTGCAGAGAGGTTTTCCTTCTTTACAATACATATTCTTTGATTCTAACCTCCATGGTACCGTATACTAAGATTAAACCCATTTTGTTTTATACGAGAATAGGTACTTTCTTTAGTTCATGCACTGCACATGCGATTCTCGAGAATACTGGAAACCAAAAGTTGCGGGAAACTTGCTTTGCCTTTCTAAAAGGCAATCAAATTGGAGCTGCGAAAATTGGCTCTATGCCAGCAGACACTCACGTGATACGCAATTCGCCAAAAAAGTTATCTCTTCCGACGTCGGCGCAAAAATCTTTTTTTTTTTTTTTTGGCGGGATCATTGTATGAACTTCCCTGACTTTTCCAGATTTTGACAAAAATACTTAAATTCCCTGAATTTTTTGGTCAATTTTCGAATTCCCTGACTTTTCCCGGTTTCTCCAGGTAGCGTGGCAACCCTGCCCCACCACAAGAATTTACGGAAGCAGTAAGTTGGCTGCAAGATCCGAAAATAAACAGATTCCTGAGAGACATTATTTCACACATCAAAATGATATGCACAGCAAAAACTACAGTAGTGAAGTTAAATGCAGGATTTTGAGCAGCTACAATGATGATGAAATTTGCAGAGGAAGAAGATTAAGCTTTACTTGAAAATTCAGCTGATTTTTTCATAATTTTCGTTGTGTAATTTATGTTTTCATTCTACAGGACATCCTGTTTCCAGCAGCATTCGCCGAGGCCAGTCACGTGGGTGGGTGACCACCCATGTGACTGGCCTCGGCGAATCAACTTCCTTCAACTTGGAGAGGAGAGTCACAGCTCAGATGGCTACACCCAGATGAAAGTAACTTTGCGACCAGATGCTTTTCAAAATTTTCACATCATACGTGCTTATGCACAAGACTTAGGGTTTCACCATTTTAGGTGGGGAGGTTATCTCCCACGTATTTTAGTTTTACCAAGCCCTATGGGCAATTTTCATGTTAGGCAGTAAGAGTAGTAGATGCTACTAAAGGCTGCTCTTGCCAGGTTCATAAGATAAGATTTTTTTTTTTTTTTTTTTTTTTAATGGAATAGCAAAATAATAATAAAAGACAGAGAGAGAGTCATTAAAATTATTCCTGCAGGATATTAATGTGTGAGGTCTAGGATATTTTTAGTATGCTTAATTGTATTAGTATCAAATTTCAATGACAGATGACACTTCAGCATACTCTAGGTGAGGTATGTGCTCCAAGATTATACTATACTTGACATAGTGGAAATACAATGGCAAGTTTGTAAATAAGCAGACATACACAGAATGCAGTATTAGGAAAGTATGAAAAGGGTGTATTCATTAGAACAAAGCATATTTGAATAGAATACGACAATGATGGTACAACAATGATGAGCACTTCAAGTGCAGTTTCTAAAGAGACAGAGAACCACATCAGAATTCAATAAAACAATTGCAGGAGAAATTTGCAAGAACCTGGCAGGTAACATCAGACGTCTGCAGTTTTACAACAAATTGACAGACCATTAAGAATGTCACTATTTGTAGTCCAAAATGATTGATTCTTAAAACTACAGCTGTATATTCATGGCAGCAATGCAAAAGATATTGCAAAAATTGGTTATATTTCCAGACAAATTTTCTACAGGAGACAATAAATTCACATCATTACTTTCAAACTTTATCTTATTGGACTGATGAGTTTTTTTTTTTTTTTTAAATCTTTCTGGAGGACTATTTGATAATCCCATTATTGTATTACATTAACTACTCCCATACAGTTGGCAAGTGTATGTATTACCCAGCTTATTAACCAGATCTCAATCAATGTGATTTCTTCCTTTAGAGCAACTTGAAAAATTGTAATGCATCAATAAAATCACACTACAACTGCAGAAAGTGTAATAATCATAAATTATGAATATAAAGCCATTCCAGTAATGACAGGGCAGAATGTGTCTGCTAACTTCATACTTAACTTACAACAAATAATTTACATGCATATTTAACCCCTTTACGACGACATGTTGCTGAACAAAAAAACCCTCCGCAGATGGGTGTGTCATCACCTGGCTGCTAGCGGCAGTTGGGACTGCTGCTAGCAGCCAGGTGATGCAATGGTGCAACACACCGTCTCCGAGGTGAGTTATGCTAAATGGCATGGCATTTCATAAGAAGATTAGCTGCTCATGCATATATGATACACCCGTCTTGAAGGGGTTAAAGGTGGACATTTATTTTAAGAAAAGTTTTATGAAATTTGCAAAAGTATTCCAGTGATTGACAGTTTTAGAAACTAAACTGCCATCGGTTAGTAGCATTTGGTTCTAATACAAGGAAGCATACTAAACACATTCTTGCCCTCACACCTTAATCTTCTGCATGAATAATTTTTATAACTGTTAACATTCCTTTGTTATTCCATTTTAAAAACCACTATATCTCTATAGGGCACCCTCTGTCTATGGTCAAACAAACTCTGCCACAAGAAGCAGTGTCAAGTCCAGTTTTTTTCAACATCACAATAAGTGATTTAAGTGAAACTATTTCCAAACTTGTTTCTGTCATACAAGATTTACTGATAATCCCTTGTTTGTGGACAGAACTGATTTCACTACTTTGATGAACATTCATCAATAAGCCTAAAAGTACTAAAACAATGGATAAATTAAAATAGGATGTAATTAATATAGATACATATAATAACTATATTCTAATTTTTTATTTTAGGTACAAAACACAATATCAACTTCTGTCATAGAAATAAATATATTTATCTGAAATCCTTGCCTGTACTCGAAACTGAATTAAAATAACAGGTTACTAGAGCTACTAATTGGGGGCAAACAAAATCTAAAGCATTTAGTTGGAACTATCTGTGGCTTGAATCAAGACATTTTATGTATAGTCTACAAAAATTACACATGTCTTGCAACTGTATGTAGCAGCAAGATCCCAATAAAACAAAACCAGATTTAATGTTTTCCAAAATAATACGCTGCATTTGATTAATGAAGGTATAAAACTGATTCAAATAGTTGCTATGAGATGCAGAGTACACTGGAGCTTCTACGACAAAAAACAGAACACCATAATTCTTACATAGGAAATGCTGAGAAGAATAGCACACTTGCCTAATAAATTCTGCATCAGCATGTGAAAGGTTAAAAACTCAAAGACTCTTCCATCCAACATTTAAAAAATTTTATGATACCAATGACATCTTTAGACTGCTTGATTTTCCCTTAAACATGAAATGAGTCCCCTTGAAAATTTGCAACTAACCCACAGATCCTTCAATCTAGTTTGAAGAGTAAATAAACACTCTCTTCAGTCTGAAATAAAAAAATGCTACTTTGATCACTAACCATGCTGGATTTTCCTTTGACACATGGTTGTATGTGTACACAAACGGTTCTGAAAAAAATGCATCCAAAAATGCTTGGGCTGCTGCTTACTCAAATAGTTTCAGTATTTACTGCCCTTCAGGAAAATATTGCAACAATCTGGATACACAGATGAGAAATATTTCCTTAGCAGCAGACAAAATAACAATAATTCTTGAGCATAACACTGCATTTTTTGCAGATTTTCAGGTTGCCATTATGTCTTTTATTACTCTCGGTTATACTATTAATGATCTGATCTATTCTTTAAAGTGAAATTAAATTGTCTTAGGATGTCTAAAGAAAATAATACAATTCTTCAGTGGATTTCAAGCCATTTGGAAATGAGAGAATAATCTGAATGACACAGGCTTTATCTCATCCTTGGTCACCACTGTGAAACACCAAGTGGCTTGTTTCCTCTAAAATCAATGAAAACGGACAATCTTCAAAAGAGGATTCAGCTATAAATAAAATCTAGAACTTATCATTGGACCAAAATAATTCTATTAGAATGTTTAAAGAAAATGTAATTCCTAGGTGGATTCTGAGTCTCAGCAACAATGTTAGGAAATGCACAGGTGATTTAGTTCTAGATTGTCTAAGAAATTTGTTACTAATGGTAGTCTGATTAAGTCCAGATTTCAAATACTTTAATCTGATTCTCCTTTACTGTTGCAAAACATTAAGCAGATTGCCTTTTCTGTTCCTATGAAAAAAAGAGACAATTAATACTGGTGGATTCAGCTTTAGATAAAACCTTTTAAACATATTACAGAAAAAAAAAATATATGCATCTCCATTTCTTGCCTAGGGTTGTGAGGCTTGCTAGTTTCAGATTAATCACTGGACATGACTATTACAAAGACATTTAAATCATACAGGTACAAAGGAAACTTCTAATAATTCTCTATGTTAGTAGGAGCCTATAAATTAACACAACATTTTATTTACTTTAAAGTTTTATCAATTTTATATCTAACAATTCCTTGGAAACTGAATTTAATTTGAATGACACTTAACTCTTTCGATTTACTATTGTACCATTTGTTGACTAACAGCAAAAATACTGGCAATGGTTATAGAATTAAAAAATAAATAAATAATAAAATAACATAATCATTAATTCATTTTCTGATTTTTTTAAAACCATTTTGGCTCTTACATCTTTCCCTCCTCAACAATGATGTTCTACTGGGTAACATTCTAATCTTAGGACTTTTAACATATTCAGGATTAGCACTGATCATTCCTCTACTGCTGAAATGTTTTATTTTATTTAATTTTTCTGGAAAATTGAGCCTTTTTATAAAATGACAGTAAATGCCATGTATTTTTTGCTGCCTATATCAAACAGAGTTCCAGAGTGATAGGGTTATTGCTCCTAATGCAAGATTAGTGCAATTTGAATATTATTATTTCATTTATTAATTGCCTTTAATGTTAAAGATACACATTCATTTCACCTAAGAAAGCAAACATACTCACTAAAAATTCATTAAAAGTACTTTTTTAAGAAATAAAGTGCTTTAAAATTATCTAACCAGTTCTCTTTCAGTTATATAACGCTAACTACATCAATGGGCTTTGAGGGTGCAAGCTTAATTTTTGTGAAAAGAAGTTAGTTTACCCAGAACTCTAACAACCCTAAAATAATAAATGGAATGGTATTCCTTAGATCAGTTTTCTACACAGGTTATTTTCTAAACAGTGAAACTACTGCCAGAAAACTATATGAGACAAAAGGAAAATACTACTAATCTTTGTCACAGATAATTTTAAGATCATATCACAAGCAAAATTTTTATATTAACTTGAAGGAATATTACCTGATTTTTATATTAACCTGTGTTCCTTCTTTTATATCAATCATTTTAGAAGATGGGTCAAAACTAAATTCTTTTAACATTGGTCTCAAGAAGTATTGTCCTGGCCCTAATCCCGAAAAAGAAAGTCTTCCATTTTTCTGTGTTACACTGTTCTTACGATAATCTGTTCCACCACTTAATGAAAGTAAAACTCCAGGAAGAGGTGAACCATCTTCATTTGTAACTTCTACCACAATTTCAGCTAGTTTGAAAGCTAAGAAATTTCCTAAATTATCCAAAGGTTTGAAAACATAACCTTCCACCTCTGCATTCACTATATAATCACTCTCATCTTCCAGAGGTCCAACAAGGAATTTGCCAGCATCATCTGTTATAGTTTTAGTATAAAGTTCCTGAGTTTTTTTAACTAGTACTTTTATACTTACTCCACCTAGTGGAGGTGTAACAGATCCATTGAGAAACAAGCCTTTCTTTCCAATGATTTCAACAGCATTTTCCAAACAATCATCTTCGACTTTAATAGTTGCTCGGGCAGGGCGAAAGAGCAGTTGCTTCGATGAAACTCTCAATTCCAACTGAGACATTGGTGGAACAAATACTGAAAAGGTATATCTAAAATAATCCTTTTTCTTATCTAGTGGCTCTTGTAAGGATATAACTTCTTCACTTCCAGAAGACTGCCGTTTAACAAATACTTTAATATCTGTAACATTTAGTTCAGTTAAAATATTGCCAGTTACTAAATGTTTTGTTGGCGTTAAATTAATTTCTACAGGATTGTTTGTGTCAAACTTAAAAGAATCTTTTTTATACAAATGACATCCAATTGGTATAAAGTTATAAATGCCTTTTTCTGGCAAACAAAGTACATTCCTCGATTTCTGAAGTTCTACATTATGAAACTCTCCTGATGGATATTTTACTTTAAAAGATGATGCATGAGTCAAGGTTACAGATGCCTGGAAACCTATTTGAAGCAATTCCAGATTCAAAATATCTTTATCAGTAATGGTAAATTTTAATGTTTTAGATTGGAAACACCAATCATCTTTTACTACAGTTAAGATATAATTACCAGGTAAGCATTTATCAAACTCAAATGTGCCATCAGTCATAACAGTAGCTGCTAAATGTGGTCTATCATGTGATAGAGGAGCTAGATCGAGCAATAAATCAATACAATCTTCGATACATTTTACTTTACCTCTAACTTCTGCCCTAAACTGCTTAAATTCAATATTCAACACTGGTTCATCGGCCACCTGAAGAGAATACTTTTCAGGAGAGAACTTAAGACCAAAACTATTCTCAATCTCTGATACAACAGGCTCTAATTCATATTTTCCAGGAACTGTACTGCAACAGAAAGTACCATCTGATGGAACTGGCACAAGTAAGTGTATGTCACCTTTAATAGATTTCACACTTATGCTTCTGTCACTCTTTTCCAAACCTACAGGAAATTCATCAATAATAAGTTGGCCACATACAGAAAATTTACTGACAAAGATATTTGGAAGTTTAGGTGTGTTTGGATTAATTTTCATTTCAACTGATTCAAAATACATGTATGGTTTTTTCAACTCCAAAATATAAATGCCAGCTCTCATATTTTCTAGGTGATATATGCCATTTATGTCTGACTTTCCATGAACTTGACCATTTATATATACTTCAACATCTGATAAGCTCTTGCCATTAGGTCCTGTACCTATCCAACCACTAACACTGAAACCTTGAACCTATAAAGTAAGAATTAAATGAGTAAACAACACTTCAAAGTTTTTAAATGGACAAATTATAAATGAAAGTAACAAGTTTATAAGGGGATGCATGCATTTATTTTATACAACAATAATATAATGAATATAACTTTTTATATTGCTTAATTCAATAAACTTCCATAAATTTATGTTTGCTGTTATACAATTTATTAAATGTACATCATAATGGCTATTTTATAATTTTATTATTTGTTCATCACCACATATTTAAAAATTCAATTTTCTCTCAATTTTTTAAAATAGTAAATATAGAAAATAACATAAGAAAATAAGGGAAAGAATTCTTTTTTCTGATCTATGAAATTTCAAGACATTATGAGCTATAGGTTTCCAGATATCAAAATTTTGATGCAAGATAAGTTGAAAAATACTGGGTACACACTATATCATAATAAGTGATGCACCAAGAAAGAGTTAACTAAGTGGGATGAAACTGTGTATGCCCTTCTTTTACAACAGGGTTTGTACACATTTCTGCATAGGGATATTAAGTACTTTTAAGAACTATCAATGAAAAAAAATTAACAACCTATCAGTAAATATGAAATGAATAAACTAGAGTAAATATCAACATCCAAACTATACCTTTTCAATATCACTTTTATAATTTGTAAGAATAAAATAAATTTTCAAGTCTTCTGCTTCGAAAAAACATAATGTTTTTGCAGTGGTGCCCGAACTAAAAGATGATGGATGATGATTCTTCACCACCAGGATTTGGCTATCAGGTCCTCTAGTACCCAGTCACCCTCTAAAATGGGGAGTATATAAGATATTTTCTCCCTCCTTTCTGCATGCTTTTTTTGTGTAATGGCAGCACACTTGGCGCACATTCGAGAGGTCCAGGTTTGAGTCCTAATGACGGCATTGATCATTTTTCACTTCTTGCTTCAAAAAAGCCTAATGACTCTACAGCTTCATTTCATCATGTAATCACTCAGTCCAAAGGATTAGGCAGATTTTTTTTATCTAGTATATGTTAAACTGAGGAGTAAAATAATAATCACTATGACTAATAACAGAAGCTTGGTTGTTGCCTCCAGCTGCATGCTTAGAAACAGATAGCTACTGATTAGAACAGACGTGAATGTCTGATGTTGATAAGGTTGATTAGTTTAGGTTAAAATAACACATCAATTTAGAAATCAAACAACAAAAATCAAGCTTAAAAAACTGCAAATTTTCACAGGACTATTTTTGATGGTTTTACCAAACCATCATCCTCAGCTGTCAAATTGCCACACTTTGCTGGTGATTTGCTAGTGCTACAGATTTGCTGGAGTTATAACCCAGTTAATATACAGTTTTTAATACACAATTCCAATAAGCCATTGAAGCACCAGAGGTTATAGGTTGTTTTGTATTAAGTTTCATTAGTTATAAGGAACAAAGTTTTACATTAATTTTTACATTTTTGTGTATTACAGTACAAAGTCTGTAATCCGGACATCCATTATCCAGAATGTTCTATAATCTGGACCTCAAAGCCACAAACTTTTTTTTTTGTATGCTTTACACATGTGCATTTAGCACAAAAAAACGAAGCAACTTAAATAACTTACATTGAAAGAAATGTTTAATAAAGTAAACAAATAAATATTAAGTTTTTTTTTTGTAAATTTTGATACCCTTTAGATAATAACTGCTCTTTATTTCATGAATTACGGTTTCATATTTTTAATTGTATAATTTCTACATGCCATCATACCAGATTTAAATTGATGATCCATAATCCGGAAAAACCCTTAATCCGGAATCGCCGAAGTCCCAACGAGTCCGGATTACGGACTTTGTACTGTATCTTACATCCACAACAAGGATTAAGGAAATGCAATAAAATAACTCACCTTAATATGTAAAGATAACTTTTAAGGGTAAAAGCAAAAAAAATTGCAGAGTTACACATCCTTAAATTATAATAGATATATATGGTTACAATTACACTTTTTTATTAAAAAAATGTCCATCAAAAAAGCACTACGAACATTTTACAACAGTGATAATTTATGATATTGATTTTAAAATGATATTCGTATAAGTATACATTAAAAGCTATGAAATATTTATGTTTTGTAGCAACAACAAAATATTTATGGGTCTTTTTAATTTGAAAATTTCCTAGATATTTCAGCTAATTTACATCCATTTCCTTTTCTTTAGCAACTTTTTAAAGTTTATTTGTTTCAACAAGTAAGTAAATGTTCTTAGTAGTCTCTGCTTTATATCTCCTAATTTGTTAATGTTTCTCTGAAGCCTCTGAAGAATGAAGCATTTCTTTTTTTTTTTTTTTATAAAATCAATTTATTTTCCAATGAGTTTCTTCATTTTAAAATCTCCTGATTTAATTAAAGACTTATGTTATTCTAACGAATTGCTTGTACTTAGAATGTATACAAGAAAATGTTAAATTTATTTCTTTAATAATATGAGTATAAATATGAAATGGTATTAGGTCAGGGGCAGTGTCAGAACCAAGAGACAGAATTTTTAGTATTTAGTGAGGCACTGAGCAACTAAATCCAAGGATGGCAAAAATTTTAGAATTTAGTCAGGTACTGAGGTATGTATGGTACACTGAGACACATAAGATGAAATTTTTAACAAATTGTTATTTTCCAGTTTCTTTGCTTGCTTTAATGCTTGTGTCTAATGGAAAGATAAGAAAAAAGAGAAGACAAACTGGGAAGATTCTGGGATGAAAAGGAGAAGATTGAAATATTTTGTTTTCGCTGTTCTTCCAAAAAGCTAAGAAATTCATCACAAATTTTCTATGAAACACATCCATTAGGTGTTAATACCATGAAGACATTTTTCATTTTGTCGCATTTTTCTGGAATTGTGCGTCGATTAATCTTGCTTTTAAATCCTTCTAAGAAGCTTGGTTTAAAATTCCTACCAACTCTGTAAAAGCAAAAAAGGTTAAATGATTAAAAAAAAGTTCAGAAAAGAAAAGTGCAAAGTGAATTCTCAGGAGAAAACTGATACACATTTAAAGTCTGACACCGCTACATGAGTAAAAAAATTTAAAAAACAAATGAACTTAATTTAAAAATAATTTCAATAGCTTTTTTTACTTTGTTCTGAAAAGTGTTTTGGAAACTGTGCTTTATATTTATAGCATTTGTTATTTTGTTTCTTTTTCAAAATATTCCGAAGTCGCAAAAAGCAAAAATAATCTCACTTTAATGACAGGAGAAAATAAACAAAATGTTTTATCATTATTTCTTAAATATGATTTTAATATATTATCATTATTTTTATGATATTTATCAATGTTATGATGATAGTAAAAAAATCGCTAAAATTATGATAAGTTGCCAAATTTTGCACCTCATAAAAGAACTCATCTTTCAAAAAAAAAGAAATGTCTTTTTGATGCAATATTTTATGAACGCTTCATTCCCAAAAAAAGAAATAATTTCATAATATTTATGTTTCAAATGAAGCAGTGCCTTGTGCCTAAATCTCAAATATCTAGTATTAATAGTTGTAAGGAATTCAAATATTAACTCATCACGTAAACATCTGTCAATGGACTTACCAAAATATATTTCTCCAAAAGGTTAATTCACAATCAAAACAAAATGGCAGTTGTAAACAACAGCAACAGAAAAGGGGGGATAGAAATGTCAGATAAGTAAAATTAAGAGCCTTTTGCCAATTTTGGCCAAAATTAAGGACTTCTAAGGACCAAAAAACATTTCCCAAAATCTAAGTCCTTATAAGTATTTTAACGATCGTACAAACACTGTACAATACAACACACAAACGATTAACTTTCTGCGGCCAATGACTAATTAGCTAGAGCTCCAGTGGACTGCAATGGAGCATCCAGATGGTGTATAAAACAGAGGACATTCCAATGTTAATTCCAAAGTCATAACTCCCTTGCAAATGTAGTTCCGTCAAACCACATGGACTGTACCAATGCCTTGCAGGCTGGTTTGCGAAGAGTATGAGCAGAAGTCACTATTTGAGAGAGGATGTACATTGCGCTAAAAACAAAAATGGGACAGTTCTCCCGTTCTACTGGGCCAAATGACAAAATTCAAACTGCCTTTTTCATATCTCGAGAGCAAGACTTAGGATACATATATATTAGATTTATATATAACATTGTTCTAACATAGGTATTTTGACACAAAATCAGACTTTTAATTTTTTTCCATATTTCCATTCTACGACTCAAATTATGCCTAGATATTAAATTTTGTAAAATTTGGTGCAGAATTTATGGAGAAATTCAAGCATTTGTCTTGGCGCATTTTTTCAGTTTGTGCCATGAATAATTCACTTAGCAAACTTCTTAATATATGGCAATCAATTTTCCTTTCCCTTTCATTTTGCCAGAGTTGAAAAAAAGGCACCTCGCTCCTACCTTTTTACATCATGCATGAGTGGAAAAAAAAGTCACATAGTTCCTACATTCAAATAATTTTAGCAAAGTGTCTAAATCACATTTGATGTTTTATCGCTTTCAACAAATATGCCAAATTTCAAAATGCACTAATATATAAATTCACTTATATCTTCGGAAATTTTGAATAAAACTGTAATTTTTTGCAGATATGCTTACAAATATGTCTACTTTAAGATGATGGTAAAAATTTAATAGATTATAATTCAAATTGTTTTTGAAAAATTTATAAAAAATATTTTAAAATACAAATTTAAAGAATAAATCATAAAAAATGAGTGAATTTTATTTGAAATGAACCTGAATTTAAAAATATGAAAGAAAGAATTAAATAAGTTTAATAACAAAAGAGAAATTAATAAACATATACCAAATTCAATTAACATTGAGGAGCTAACATTTTGAAAGCTAATTTTTTAAAAACGAATCGTGCGATTTTTTTCAAAACTTAATAGTTTGGTGTAATTTGAGTCGTACAATGGAAATATGGAAAAAAATGGTATGTTATATCAGAAAAAGATTTTGTGTCAAAATACCTATATTAGAACAATGGTATATATAAATCTTATACATATCTTAAGTTGCGCTTTCAAGACATGAAAAATGAAAGTTGAATTTCATCAATCGGCCCAGTAGAACGGGAGATATAGAACTGTCCCCCTTTTTTTATGCAGTGAACAACTAGACTAAAGTAAACAGGATGATCAAACCACAGGATTGCTAGACATTTGGGTTGAAGCGATGTAACCATTTGACAATGTTCGCAGGAATGGGTAAATCACTGCCATACAGTATAATAAGGTAGTGGTTGGCCAAGACAGAGGACAGAATGATCGCCTGATTAGCACTCATAGCCACTGATACATTATTATCAACAGTCCAACATGTAACTGGGATACCAGTGACTGCAATAATTACTGACAGGTAACTTAGCAAATGCAGGCTGAGGTCACACAGGATCTCACTGCCCCTCACCATTTAGATAACTTCTTAATACACCACTTTTTATGTTATAGTGTACAATAAATGAAACCTAAGACACATCTCTTTAAAGGTGACTTAAGTTATTCTGAAAAAAATTTACTTATAACATTATATTCTAATCTATACAATTAACCAGAAATTGAAACTTTGTTACAAATACTTCAATCGTTAAATGAGAATATGCAAGGCAGGAATCAATCAATATTTAATTAAAACTTTTACATTGGATTTTAAAAAGGGAGAAAAACCTCCTTTGAGAGACTATTTAGGGGACTGAGTATGACAAAGTTCTTGGTCTGTCAGTTTTTGGCTTGGTATGACAAAATTCTTGGTCTCTAGATTGCATCATAAATAATGTAGACAGACAAATTAACTCTTTAATTATTATGGAAAGGTAGCTATGATTTTTATTAGAAAAGTAATACGGTACAAAGTCCGAGATCCGGACCTGTCGGGACTTCCGAAATTCTGGATTTTTCCGGATATCAGATCATTAGTTTAAAAATCTAGTAAGAAGGCACATAGAAATTATAAAAGTAAAAACATGAAATTGCGATTTATGATCTAAAAAGTATCAAAATTAAAAAAAAGAAGGAAAAAAAAAAAAAAAAAAGAAGCTGCTTATTATTTATTTGTTTACTTTATTAAACATTTGTTTGTTGCTTAAGTTGCTTCGTTTTTTGTGCTAATGCTTTCTCTTTAATTTTGTAGACAGACAATTTCTTGTTCATTTACATCATTTACATTGTTGAAGTCCTGTAATTGCTGTGTCGAGAATTCCGACTAACTTGTCATTCGAAATTTTTCCGTTTTCAGTAACCTGTCACTTTTTTCACTATCAGTAGCGATATTTCTGGATCTAGAACAATAATACTACAGATTTTTCCTTCCGTTAATTGGTTGATGAATGAGAAGCATTGCCATCACAATGAAAAACTCTTTATATCGTCTTCATTTATTACCACTTCTCCACATTTCTTTACAGAATCCGTTAGTTGGAAAATTTTACCTTTGGTTTGTGATATCCAAAAACTTTTAAAATTCGAGGCTATCATCCTAAAATTCAGCTGTCGTTCACTATACATGTTTGGATATGTATGAGACTGACGACTAATGACAAGTTGTTCTGCTAAATTTTATCTTACTTCACTGAGACAATTAAGCCTGAATTGTAATAGTTTAATTATTTATTATACATATGTCTATTTCTTGCACATGCTTATCTGAGTCCTGAATAAATAAATTCCCACATATACTTAAGGCTCACTGAAGGCCGGTGCTAGATATCGTACTGCCTGATACAGTCTCTGTGGGTTCTAAATTCTGCTACCAAGCGCCTCCCTTTGTCTTCCCTAAATTCTGCCGCCTTGTGCGGCCATATGAGCACTGGCACTAGCTCTGAAATTATGTGAATAACAAATCGGTTATTCTTAATTCAAATTATTAACATAAAAAAATTGTTTAGTCATCCCTAAATGAGTCATTACTCAAGTTTTCATGTGCTGATAAACATGCGGTGATGAGAGTAAAATATAATAAATAATGATTTGCCAGATTAGCGTCAGGGATATAAAATATTAGTAGGTGTAAAATCAACGATGTATCTATGTAGAATGTTTCGGTTTGACATGTACGCCAAGCAGACACTTATCTACACAGCCAAATTATTGATAACACAAATTTGTGCTAAAATGATCGTTTCTTCAATAACAATACATTTTAGTTAGTGCTGAAGTGAAATTAAGAATCAAACTCTTTAGATGTTTTATCATGCAGGGAAGGGAAAAAGGTAAATCAAATGCGCATGCGTAAAGAATACAAAAAAATTTTTCAAAAAAGTTGTTGGTGGCTTTGGGGTCCAGATTTTAAATCATTCCTGATATTAGATCTCGGACTTTGTACTGTATAATCTGGTGATATGTACAAGGATCTAAAAGTTATTCACTATTTTTTAACATTAATATTTCATTATGTGCACTTAACTTTTTCTAAAATATATTTCTTATCATTTAGCACAAAATATTAAAATTTATATGATGAATCTCACATTTCCTCATAAAATTTTACTACATATTTGAATTTTACATAAATAATCAAATGTGTTCATTTAGAGATAGTAACAAAACTGCCAGATATAATACAAATAACAAATATTAAAAACTTAGAAAATATGACAGATCATCAAAGAAACATGTAATCACATGCATATTACCTGAAAATTTTCCTCAATTTTAAGGCTGTCTTTTGTAACAATAAAATCCATTTCTGGTGGAGATACATCAAATTCAATATGCTCACCCTTGTAAAATGGAACTAACTTATAAGTTCCAGGAGGTAATGATGGAAAAATAAATTTTCCATCTTCTGAAGAAGTGACATAACACACATACGGGATACTGTACTTCTGACTGAAACCTTTTACACTGTCCATACTGCAGTTAACTGGTTTATTAATTTTAGTCTTCGAAAATAATAAGAAATGAACTCCTTGAATTGGCTCGCCATCACTGTAAACAAATCCTGAAACGTCATAACCAGCTATTATAATTTTATTTTCAGTTTTCAAATTATCATTTGTTACATGAATCACTTCTTTCTGTTCATCGAAAATCCATACTTTATGGCTAGCTTCAATGGTATATTTTCCTGGAAGTAGTTTAGGAAAACTATAATATCCATCATTTCCACTAACTGTTTCATTTTGGATTTCTAGATTAGAATTTTTCAGCACTAGATTAATACCGGCTGGACCATTTTTTCCATTTCGACTCAGAACCTGCAAGATAAAAAGTAGTATATATTAGTTTGAAAATAAATAATTTGTTAAATAGTCCTATTGTAACTATGGGTAATATGTTCCAAGGTACAGTAAATACATGAAACTCCCTGATACAAAAATAATATAAAGTTGTATATTGCTAGTATATTACACATTGCATTACTAAATAATGTAATGCAAGGTTATGACATTTAATTTAACTTTTACTAACGGTTAAGATTTATTTAGATTCTTTCTTTTACGCCTCATTCTGTCACACTCACTCAATTGCAATGTTTAAACAGATTTCAAGGCAAGTGGTATAGTTTAAACAGAAAAGAACCATAGCCAGTATGACTCATAGAAGACAATTTGGCTTCTTCTGTCAGTGCCTGTTTATAGGAAGGGAGTCACTAATTCAGAATAGATGTGAATATATGACAATCAGCATGATTTTGGTAAGTGTTGAACATTAAAATAGTTTAGGTTGTCTGATGCAGTTGATATTGTAACTTTGCATAAGATCACTGGAGTAGTAGCCAATTAGTTAGCCAGAAAACTTAAAATTTCTTGTATTATTTCGGTGGTTGGCAAACTCATTAGTCAACACAGCCAATTATCAACAGTTCAAGGACTGAAATCTTGGAATAAGAGCTACATTTTTTTAATTAAAATTATATACGCAGGTATATTGTTATTCACTTAATTAAGCTTCTTCCCTCCTCTCAGTCTCGGACACAGGCAGCGCAGGGGTGCATTTGTAATCGAATACTAGTCTAAATCCACCCCTTCCAAAATCGCTTTTATTTTATATATATATATATTTTTCTTCAAAACAAGAAGGAAAAGATTGTCAACCGCCATCTTTGGCCACATAAGAGTTGTAATCATCTTACGACTGTCAGTGTATTTAATTTTTTTTTTATTAGTACTACACATCATTCGTGCCAAGTGCGTGTTTGCATTCAGCTCAAGCAGTATTTTCCTTTATTAGTGCTACAGTGCAATTCCTCATCCAAGTTCATATCTGTGAAAGTGTGTGCATTGCTGATTGTAATTCCTCATTCAAGTTCATATCTGTGAGAGTGTGTGCATTGCTTATTGCAATTCCTCATTCAAGTTCATACCTGTGAAAGTGTGTGCATTGCTTATTTTGAAAGAGATTTTAACGCTTACGAAGTATTTACCTCTTACATACCCCAGTCCGAACTAGTGCTATAGCACATACTCAATATATGTAAAGAAGATTTTTGAGATTTCACATACATCTCCTTATTCATTATTAATACCGGAAGTTAGTGCATGGTGTTCTCGCAGTACGGTACTTACTTTATTGGCAGTGTATGCGATTTGATTGTACATCTCCTCATTCAAGTTTAATGCTACGAAGAGCTCCAGTATTCATCATATTATTCAGTGCTTTGATATAGTGCATGTGAATATTATTCAGTACTTACTTAGGGCAGTGAAAATGCTACAGCCCATACTCAATATACAAGAAAGTCTATTAGCTTATGAGGTTCTATTATACAACACCTCATCCACTTTAGTGTCGTGAAAGTGCATGCATTGTGTTCTCGCAACTATCTAATCTATTATTGCTACGGTACATGCTTAGTACTCTAGCCCAAGTGCATGCGATCTGATCGTGCATCTCCTCATTCAAGTTTAGCGTTGTGAAGTGTGTGCATTGTGTTCCGCTACCTTTCCTTACAGTGCTATCGTGTAAACTCAGTATTCCTGGAATATTGCAGGTGCATGTGTATCCATCATTCATCTCATCATTCGTTTTTTATGCTCTGAAAGCATCTTCATTGTGTTCTCTTACTTACTATGCCTTCGGATACTCCCTCATCACCAGCCGGCACGGAGCATAATATTCAACATTCTCCCCCTTCTGTTAAAGGTGCTGCTAGCACATCGACACCTAACTCCAGGTTGGAAGCAATTAACCACATCTGTAACCAACTCCAGTTATTCATCTTACAAGCAAAGGAATCTCGCAGACTAAACGCTTCTGAAAGAAAGCAATTTACATCTTTTGTGAACACCGTTCGCATAACGTTAACGGAACAAGAGGTTTATCTCGCCCAGCTACAGGGACAAGTCTTGGCTCTGCAACAACAGCAACTCGCACACAGTTTACAGCCATCTCACGAGAATCCTCAACATTCCGAGTCTTATCAAGCAGTGGAATCCTCAGCCCCAGAAGAACAGTCCACAAAAGAATATTCCCTTCACTGAGGTGACACGAAAGAAGCGGAAAACTTCTCCACCTTCAAGATCTTCTCCAGTTCTATCGGAGCACGTTCTATTATTAAGGTCAAAGAACTCCACACGGACACCCGAAGGGATTAAAGCTCAACTTTCGGCAGATTTGAAACCCTCCCAGCTAGGGATCACTTTAGTGCAGATTCGGCCGACAAGGTCCAGAGAGCTTCTCATCCGGTGTCGAGAAAAAGCTCACCTGCTACGCCTGAAACAGGCAATCGAGGACAGGCCAGCACTACTAGAGACACTTGAATTTCGGGAGCCCAAGCCAAGAAGGGAAAGTGTAATTATTTTTGGAGTACCTGAGAATCTAGGAAAAGAAGATCTAACAGCAGCACTTGTAGACCAACTGCCCAATTTCAATCCCAGTGCTTTTCAAATACGAGCAAGCCGTTCCGGGCAAAGCGGAAGGAAAAACTGGGTGATAGACATAGACCCTAAGTCAGCAGAACACCTAGTTAAGCTAGGCCGTCTTTTAGTGGGTTTTGAGTCTTGTCCTCTCCGTCCGTACATTAGGATCATACGCTGTTACAACTGCCAGGAGTTCGGTCACTATAGCAGGAACTGTAAAAACGCTCCAGTTTGCGCGAAGTGTGGTAACAGCAAACCTGACGCAGGAGTGTAGCTCGGAAAAAGTGAGTTGCACTAATTGCTGCAGTAGTAATTCTGAAAAGGGGACCTCTTTCAGCACAGATCACCCAGCTACTTCAAGTTCCTGCCCAGTGTATGGAGCCCATTTCGAGAGCCTGAGAAGGACCACTAAGAACTAAGATGACACTAAACATATAGCAGGTCTTCGATTTTTACAGTGTAACTTGCAGAAGTGCTATGCAGCAACCATAAATACGCTGCAAGTAATGACACATACTGCTGCCAATGTCGGAATCTTCCAAGAGCCATACGTTTACAACGGAGTGATTCCTAGTGTTCCAACACACAGCAGAACGTTTCTCTCAAAGAATCAGCTAGCTGCGATTATTTACAGTGGCCCTCTCTCCCCTCTCCTAATGAAAATCACAGAGCATACAGTCTCCATCAGACTAGACACTAGTAATTGCAGCATTGATATTATTGCTGTGTATCTACCCCCGAGCGAAGATATTACCTCTCTATTAGAAGAACTTAATTCTAACCTTCTAACTGGGGCATCACACTGTATCATAGCAGGAGACTTTAACGCCACCAGTCAACTATGGGGTGCTGACTCGGAGAACCGAAGGGGAATTGCGGTACTAGAATTCTTGGACAGTAAGCATTTCATTGTCATCAACGCTCAGGACTCACCGCCTACCTTTGAAACATCTAGAGCTCGAGGGTGGCCAGATCTGACAATATCAACTCCCAATACAACTCCGTACATACAAGATTGGACAGTGAGTGACCTGCCGTCACTCAGTGATCACAAAATTATTACTTACAGGCTGGATACTCCTATAGACTACATAATAAAGAAAAGATTCAAAACGGCATTTGGAGGACATTCCGTTTTACGGGAACACATTCGAGCGCATGTAGAGAAATTTATCAAAGATTTCAACAACTGCCAGGACAGAAACTCCTTAGATAATCTCTACGACTTACTAGTTACAAAAATAGTGCAAGCCGCCCACAAAGCATATCGTTAGAAATCTGTAATGGCAAAACACTCGATATCCTGGTGGTCACCAGAGCTTAACACAGAGTTCGGGCACTTTGCAGAAAAGCACAATCCACAGTAGATCCATATCTATGGCAACTCAAAATGATAACATACAATAAAGCCAGAGCTTTATATAAAAGAAAAATTAAAGAGGCCAAGTTAATCTCATGGAGAACTTACTGTAGTAATGTCACTAAAGCCTTTGGACCTACTCAAAAGATAACATGTAACAAGGTGTTTCGTCCTACGACCCTTTCGCCTATGGTGAATAGCACTGCCTCATCCAACATCGAAGTAATCAGTGAGATCATAAATGCAGTTTTTCCTGATGATGATGAAGAGGATTTCTTAGAGGAGCAAGAGGAAGCGAGAAAAACCTACAGTATGAAATTTCGCCAAGTTACCAGAAGAGACGAACTCCCTCCTACGCAAATGGAAGTGGATAACATCATACGTACTCTGGCACCCAAAAAAGCTCCAGGTCCGGATGGAATTGATAATATCATCATTAGAGAGATACACCGGGAATTCCCAAAACTATTCCTTGCGGTCATTTCAGCTTGCTGGAAACATCAGTACTTTCCTAAAAATATGAAGTTGGCAGAAGTGGCGTTATTCCTAAAATCAGGCAAAACTCCGGCAGAACCTACATCTTACAGGCCAGTCTGTCTACTGCCAGCGCTCGGTAAGGTATTGGAAAGAGTAATTCTTTACAGATTGGACTTCTTCCTGCAAAGGAACAACGCCCTGCATCCCAACCAATATGGATTCCGAATGGGCAACTCAACTGAACATGCCATAAAAGACTTAATGGCCACTATCAAACAGAACAAGGATAACAATTTGCACTCACTGGCAATAGCCATTGACATCAAGGGAGCCTTTGACTCCCTTTGGTGGCCAGACGTAATAAATTTGCTGCACAACATGGCCGTGCCCAACAGCCATTATTACCATCCTTCGCTCGTACCTTCAAGATCGAAGTGTACAAGTAACATCAGACAGCGGCATTTATGTCAAAAATGTCTTTAGAGGGTGCCCACAGGGGTCATGCCTTGGACCAACACTGTGGAATATAGTGGCAAACTCGGCATTTCGTCAGTTTGAG